GGGCCCTTTTGTCCTGATATTCCTGCTAAGTCCACCACAGCACATTCATCACACTGATGGGCCCTCCACCTCACTGATGCTCTCTGGCCATCTTGCCACCCTGACTCCATGAGCATTTCCCCTACTTTCCACCTCTTGTTCTGTGTACAGTAAGCAAATCCATGTTACTGCTCCTGGAAAGGGCATATGCCAATCAATTACCCTGTGACTCCATTCCCTAGCCCTGTGACTCTCCCATCCTCTGGGCCATCACTCTCTTATATGTTTTGTCTTCCCCAGTGACAGTGTAGGCCTGAGGGGAGGCCTATCTTTTTGTATCTGTATACCCAGCACCTAGAATGCCAATTTGGCCAAAAACTAGCTTACGCAAAGTGGACCCATGTGGATTCAGTTTGGAAATAGATTGTAGTCAGAATACAGGAGCTTTAAATGCTTAAAGAAGAGTTTGGATTTTGTCCTCCTGGCATAGGGAGCCTAGACCTTCTTAAGCAGAAACATAACATGATCAAACTTGTATTTTAGGAATATTAATTTGGCAGCCACATGGAAAAGGGATTGGAAAGGAGACTGGAGGCAGGAAGGCCAAGTGAGAAGGCTAATGCAGTAGCCTAGGGGAGAGGTCATGATTGATTTAAGGGAAAACCATTGGCTATGATTGGAAGAGCCAGTTTCTCCTATGGAAGCAAGCCGTCAGATAAACTATGACGTGGCCATGCCCCTAGAAGATTCCCTGTCACCAGAGCCTAGACTTAGCCCTAGAAGAGATCTTTTCTTCTTACTTTATTTTAAACATAAATATAAAAACTTATACACACAAGAAGAAAAGAAACACATTGTAAACTTAAATATTAAAACTTAAATACAAAATAAGAAAAGAAAAAAAAGCATTTCCATGTGCACAGCAGAAGAGGATTCCAAATATGCAGCAATAAATTTCCATTTCAAGAAAGCCTACAAAATAAATACTATGCTTTGCATTAAGAGCTGTCCATCTTTTCTTTGCTTCCTTGTAAGTTTTCTTTTGTTCTGTGCTATGCACTTTTTACTTTGTTCTTTTTTCCCCTTCCTCCTCCCCCTCCCCACCAGGACAGATTTTAGAGGAGGCCCAGGAAGGGCAGTGACTTGGCCAGGGTCACACAGGGTGTGATGGGCCCCAGTCCAGGGGCAGTTCCTCTCCATACCCTGACTCTGGTTAGTCCATTTGGCATCAGGCTTGTTTGATGTCCTCAAGCTAAATCATCACACGAATGTGTTATTATTCATTAACCCTCTGAGAAAAACCAATAGACACCCACCCACTCAGCTTTGATCCTGCCCAGGCAAGGCTTTCTGGCCTCAGAGAGCCAAAGGCCAATGACCACAAGGGCTAACCTGGGTCTCCAGCACCATTTATGTCATTGATGGCCAGAACTTCAGCAAGCTCATGATCCATTCATGGAGGGCTGTTCCATTCCTTATCCGTCACCACATACGCATCCAAGTCATATTTGGCCAAGAGCATGGCCAGATGGAAGAACAGATGTACACCTCTGGAGAGCATAATTGATGGGCATGTCCACCTTGTGAATGTTGAAAGGTCCTGGACACCCAAGCATGGCCTGGGCTTTCAACACTGAAGTAGGTCAGGGCTTTCAGGTGAGGTCTAGGCCCTTGGGGTCATCTTCAACTCTTCCCTCTTCCTCTCCCTACTCCCATTCCCTCTACTATCAGTCCCAAGTCTTACAACAATCTTAGTTCTGCCAGGATCACTTGGGTGATGTTGAACAAGCCACTTAACTTCAAAGCCTCAGTTTTCTGCTCTGTCAAATAGGCGGGGGGAGTGGGCTAAGATGACCTGTGAGATGGCTTCCAGCTCCACATCTATAATCCTACCAGCCCATGACCCCGTCCCTACTCACAGACAGCACTCCACTGGACAACTGCAGTAGCCTCATCCTTGCTATCCTACCTCCCCTCGATCCCATCTTCCATCCACCTGACCAACTGACAAAGAGATATTCTTAAAGCCCAAGTCAGACCAGATCACTCCCTCACTCAAGAAGCAGTGGTGGCTCCCTATTGCCTCTTGGATAAAATGCAGTCTCTAAATTTCTTCATAATCTGGCTCTGGTCTACCTTGCCATACTTTATACACCTTAGTCCCCTTCAAGGACTCTATTCCAACCAGCCAGGTCTTCTGGAAGCTCCTCACCCACAATATTCCATTTTGCTCTAACCCTAATCCTAATCCTGACTCTAATTGCAGCTCTGACTCTGACTCCAACCCTAACCTCACTCGCAGACTTCCGCCCCATATGCTTGGAATTCACCCTCCCATCACCTCCCCCTTTAGAATGTTTCCTTCAAAAATGACTTTCTGTCACCCAACAGAGGCCTTTCCTTCTTCCCCCAGCTGTTAGTACTTTCTCCCACCCCATTTTGACCTGTGCATCTGTTGTATTTACTAGTGTGACAGCGTTTTGTCCTGTCACACCACCCGAGATGGAGGCTTGCCCAGGAGAGATGTTGGAGATCTGCTTCCAGAAGACAGGATCTCATGGCGTCTCCCACATGTGATCTGGGCTCGCACCATGGGCTCACTAAACACCGATGCGGACTTGTATTCTCCTCACCCCCATCCCTGCCACAGAACTTAAGTTCTTTGAAATCAAAGAATGATTCATCTTTGTCTTATATCCCCAACACTCTATACAATGTGTGGCACATATTAGCTGCTTAATAAATCCTCCACGAATGGATGAATTAATAAAAAGTCAATTCCTTGTCCCTCTTCTTTATTAAATAAAGAGGCCAGGATGTTGGAGGTTACAGGGTACTACTCAATTTTAACTTAGGCATGAGCAGCACAAAACAGCATGCTATAGTAGAGAGTGCTGAATAGGAATCACAGGACCTGGGCTCAAATCTTGCCTCTGCTACTTGTCTGTGACCTGGGGAAAGTCGCTTAGCTTCTGTCAAACTAAGTTTCCCAACCTAATAAACAAGAACCAGGAACAACAGAGAGTCAGATTTAGATGCAATGTCAGAAAAAAAAAAGTCTTAATTATCAGAGTCATTGAAAAATGGAATGGCTGCTTGGGGTGGTGATGGGTTTGTCATCCTCATGGGATGGCCTCTCCCGTGAGAGGCTGTATGACCACCATAAACCCTATTGTGGAAAGGTTGGACTAGATGCTGCTGGGAGTCAATGACTCTGTGACTCAGTATCTTTATCTGTAAAATGGGTGTAATAATAGCACCGAGCTCCCAGGGTTGTTGTGAGGTTCAGATGAGATGATGTATGTAAAGTGCTTTTGTAAATCTTTTTGACGAACCTGCACTTTTGTAAAGTGCTGGATAAATGCCAGCTATTACTGTGATTATCATTGGTTCCCAGCAGGGTGAGGCACAGAAGCAGGAGGGGAAAGAATCTGAACGTGGGGAGCAAGGGAGGGCTGCCCGCCATCCGGGTCCTCAAGACAACCTGGGTGATCCAATTTAGGTTGGACACAGCTAGGCGCTGGGCTCGTTTCGGGCTCCTGGCAATTTGGCCCCAATAAGAGATTCATGGGATTTAAATCTGGAGGGAACTCGAGAAGAATCTAATCCAACAGCCCTCAATTCTTGAAGCCACTCTTAAGTGAATGAATAAGTATTTATTAAGTACTTACTGTATGCAAAACACAATGCTTCTAACACTCTTTAGCTATGGTAGGCTCCTGTCCAATCTGGACTATTAAAGGTGGTGCCCAGGGCAAAGAAGCAGTTTTAATTCCCAGATTTGTGCATAGTACAAAGTTGGGCTGGCTCTGCCACCTACCATTATCTCCTCCCTTCATGATCTCCACTGTGGGCCACAAGGTCAATAGACGGCCTGGGATTTGTGTGCTCACACATGATAACTTCTCTCCACTCACATGACCACGACCCTCACATTTTAGGCCCAAATTACTGCTCACCTGGACTATTGAAGTGGCCTTCTAATTGGTCTTCCCACCTCTGGTCTCTTCTCTACAATCCAGCCACCACCCAGCTGCCATATTGGTACTTTAAAGCCTAAATCTGACTCCATACCTCCATAAAAGCCGGTGGTTCCCTATTACTTGTTTTTGGAGGCATCGCGTTTAAGTGACTTGCCCAGGGTCATACAGCTAGTAAGTGCTTGACGCAGGGTTTGAGCTCAGGTTCTCCTGACTTCAGAGCCCATGCTTTATCCATTGTGCCGCCTAGCTGATGCTGTCCCTATTACTTCTAAGGTCAAATACAAACTCTTCCATTGGACTTGGAAAACCCTTCACAACTTGGCCCCAATTGCCCTGGATCCCTGAAAGTTAGCTCTTCTACTCCACCTACAAGAGAGAAGGGCTACAGTGGAACCCCAAGCTCCTATCAGAACTCTGTGTGATCTGGGGAAAGTGACTTTAACTTTCCTGTGCCTCAGTTTCCCCCTCTATAAAATGAGGGGGCAGGACCCTGTGATCTTGGAGGCCCCTTAAAGCTCAAGATGTAGGATCTTTGAACCCAAAAACAGGTACCAAGACATCCACCAATCCAGATTAAAGACAGGAGCTGCCATCTTCTACCATCTCATGGAGCCAATTCTTTGCAAGATTGGACCTGAATTTCTTTTGGTTTCCAGTTAAAGGATATTATAACTGAAAACACAATTAAAGCATGAAAGATCGAGTGAGCAGGGAGGTGGCCCAGGCCTCTGACATCAGAGGAGGATACATGCTTCCTTCCCAACTGGGACTTTGCAGCCTTCTTTCAGCCCAGACCATACCACAAACATCTCCATCCCCTCCTTAGTATCTCATCCTTGTGGTGCCCCTCTCCTGAGGTCTGCCTTCCCTGGTATAGCTGGAGGACAGGCCACCCACTCTACACTATCCTCTTCCCCCATTGTCCCTTGGGGCCTCTTTGCTGTCAACACAGCTCCCCCTCCATTCCTACTTTTGCCCTGGGTGAGAGATCTCTTAATTATAGCCCTGGACAGAGGATGCAGCAATAATAAGAAGGACTCTCCTTTTAGAAGCTTTGTTTATTAAAATAGTTTCTTAACAGGAAGCCACAAGTTTGGCAATAGCACCTCTCAAATCACATTTCTCTTTGCTGTGACAGATCAACCCAGAAGGCAGAGCATACAGTGACTGCCATCTCGTGTCTGTTGAGTGTCAAGGCAGGGCACTGAGATCCTTGGTCAGAATGTGGGAGTCACTAGCATTGTCCATCCAATGTGACATTCCTCCCTCCCCTTCTGTCTTGTAAGGTAGGGGGAAGAGGGGGGATTTTAGGAATTCTTTTTTTGTGTGCTTCACAGCCTAAACTAGGAGAAATACCAAAAAAAGGCATTTTTTTCCTCAATTCCCACCCCATTCCTCAGCTTTGACAAAATGGCAGCCCTGTTTCCTATCCCCCTCTGCTAAGGTTGTATAGATAGGAACACTTGTCAAATATGGTTTAATTCCAGAGCTGGGAACAAGGTTAGACCTTGAAATACCTGATCCTTCCTGGACACAGAGGGATTGCTGGTGCAGCAGGCCCAGCACCTGGTATAACAGGCTTAGGACCTAGTGCACCAGGCCCTCGGGGAGGGCCATGTTCCCCAGAGGCAGATTCAAAGGAGCCCACCCCAATAATGGAATGCCTGAGGTCATGATGGGGCAAATGGCTCAAAATGGGCTTTGCAGGGAATACAGGGGGTCTGCCAACCACAGCAGGTCCCACAGCCACGGCAGGTCCAGGTCCAGCAACCACGGGAGTTCCGGCAGCCACAGTGGGTCCCACAGTGGGTCCTGCTCCATCAGGTTGGGGTTGGGGTACCACAGGCTGGAAAACAAAGGCATTCAATGATCGTGCTGGTCGTCAGGGCATTGGAGATGTAGGGCAGGACCCAGGATGACTCTTACCTCCCTCCCCCTCACGTGTTGATGCCAGTGACCAAAATAAGCTGGAGGGTAGCCTGGGGCATCTAGAAAATGAATGGCCAGGCAGCTCTCCCCAGCTGATGGGAAGTGAGGATAGAATGGGAGCCCAGCCTCCCCCAACCAGGGCAAGTGAAGTTTTTATTTTGTCTTTTTGTTCTCAGCACCTAGACTAGTGCCTGGCACATCACAGGTGCTTAATAAATGCATGTCAATTGGTATGCAAGTTGTGTTCCACTGCAGTGCCAAGGTTACCTGTCGCCCTTCCCATATGAGTCATGGCAGCTCCCCATCATTCTTAGAGCCCCAAAGCATGGAGCCAGGCCTGCCCCCTTGGAGTCGCTGTCCCAGCTCAGTCCGTGGCTCAGCCCTTGGCTAACCCAGGTCTACAGTAATGATAGTGGGTGCTTCTTGGGCTTTTACACCCCACTGTTGCTCTCAACAACCCCCTGAGGTATGGGGGCCCTCTCTATTTCATAGAGCAGGAAACTGAGGCCCAGAGACAGGAAAATGACTTGTTTGTGGTCACTCAAAGTCAGAAGTAGCAGAGCAGATTTGAACCCAGATGCAGAGCCTTTTTCTACTCTCTCAGCACAGAGTCACTGAGAGGCAGATGTCTTTCCTGAGGCGAGGTGGCCAGACTTTGATGTTTTCTTTGGCGGCATGTAAGGGCAGCCATCATCCGTGGCTCCCAGGTAACTGCTTGCCACTGAATCATCACCTGAGGATGCCCCCTGGCAGCTTCCTGATCAGAGCTCATCTCTAGGATGCCCAAGGTCCCTTCTGATGCTGCCAGTCTAGTAGCTAAGATCTGCCACAACAGGGTCACCTCAAAAGCCTCAATCCCCAGGCACAAGTCTGGGAAACATGTCCCCAAGGGACACCTGACTTTGTGAGGGAGCCAAGAAACACCAGAGCTGGAGTTTCTGCGTGGGTCAACCACAAGTCCTGCAGGAGCTGGCTTGAGGTGCGCAGATTACTGCGTCTTCCTCACTTTCTTTAAGCTTCATGGTAATCCCATGAGAGGGCAGTGTGGTGTAATGGATAGAGTCGGGAAGGCCTGGCCTTCCTGGGCAAATCACTTCAGCTTCTTAGTGCTCCAGACACCAAAAACTAAAGTTAACGTTCCAGGAGAGGCTGCTACATGACCCTGTGGACAGAGCCTCGGACTTGGAGTCAGGAAGACCCGGGTTTAAATCCTGGCCACTGGCATTTAATCACTGTGCGACCCCGGGTAAGTCATTTCTCCTTGTTCTCTCCAGACAACAGACACAGAGCTAAGATTCTTAAATGTGAAAGCCGGTGACCCCGTGGCTGGAGAAGAAGTCAGCCATGAAGAGCTGCACTAAAAGAAAGTGGTCTGTGTCTAGACCAGCTGGGATCCTGGTGCGAGGACAGCAGCATGAGTGAGTTCAGCACGCCAGGTCAGCCTGGAGAAGAGCACATGGATAGGGGCTGCATCACATGCCCGTTTCCCAGATCTTCCCAAGGAGAAGTTAACAAAATCCACATCCTCCTCATTACCAGGGATGCCTGGGAGAATCTGAAGGTGACGCTCAACATGCTACAAGTGAGGATAAAGATAAAGTCCGTACCACGGTTCCAAAGACCACACAGGAGGCAGCAACATCTTCCCCACCAACTTTCTCGGTCAGTGTTGCCTTGCAGAAGCCATGCTGTTTTCCAAAAGAAGGGAAAAGATGTCAGTGGTGAAAGGCAACTGGTCTCTCCTTCAGCCTCCCTGGGACTCCTCCCCGATTTCAAACCCAGATGGAGACACAAAGTGGTCTCTTCCATTTTCCAACATCAATGATGTTTTTGTTCTTTTCCATCTCACTCTTTCCTATCCCCATGGACCTGGGGTGCTCTGGATGGAGATGCTCAACTCTGACTCCCAGCTGGATGGGTTTAGCAGAAATGTCCTGGGATTTTAGCCCTAGATCTGAAAGGGACCATAGCTGGTCCAACTTCCTTATCCAACAGAGCAAGCAGAGTGAGGCTCAGGGTTCGAGTGGCATGCCACTGGATCACAAAGGGGGTAGCTAGAGGTGGAAGGAACTGCAGAGGTCAGCCAGTCCACACCCCTCATCTTAGAGTTGAGGAAGCTGAGGCCCAAAGGGGCTCCTACATAGCAGTAAGTGCCAGAGGCCTGAGACCTCTGACTTCAAAGGCAGTGAGGGCTCCCATGTTTAGAGGAGAAAAGCCGCTACCTGAACAAGAATCCTCCCTAAAATGCCAAAGTGGATTGGGCTACCTGTGGGCTGAGTGTGCCCCTCCCCTCACTAGAGAGGCCCCTTCCCACCCTGGGACCCTGGGATCCAGTGGCTGAGGGTCTTTTTTGAGAAGCAGCCTGGCAAAGTGGAAGGGACTCATCAGTGAGATGGCTGCTGGGGGACGATTTGGGGGAAGGATGTGAGAAGAAATAAGAACCAGTGCCCAATCCCAGCTCCTAGAAGTAGTGAAGCCTGGCAGGAGTACTTCCCTGGTGCCATGACATCTCAGGCTGAGCTCCAGGCCAGCCCCACTGGACTCTCTTTACCTGGTCTGCCAGCAGGTTGCAGGCAGCTGGCTCAGCCGCGTCTTTTGGCGAACAGTCAGTGGGTCCCACCACAAACTCCACGTAGACAGAAGAGTGGAGGGGCTGAAGACAGCAACAAAGAGAAGTGAAAACACCCATGAGGGTGTCCCAACGACCTCCATAACCACAGCGCTCTTCCTATAATGACCTTGAGAGGAGGGCAAATGTCATCCTTCCCACTTCACAGGTAAGCAAACTGAGGCCCAGAGCAGAAGAGGAGTTCCAAGCTCAGAGCTCTTTCCAACATACTGTGGGCCTAAGTAGAAAAGGGAAGGGGGGGGGAATCTGGGAGGGCATCCCAATTCTTGGCAAAAAGGGTCTGAAACCAGCCCCTTTTGGGGGGGGCTGTAGCTGTTGACAAGCCATTTCATTGGCTTATTTCACAGACTCATAAAGAGGGAAGAGATGTCTGAGTCTCACATCCTTCTTTTAAGAGTCGAGGGACTGTGATTCACCCAAGGTCAGCCAGTCTGACCTGGGCCCACGTCTCCCAAGACCCACCTGTGCCAGGCTACAGGACAGTGATAGGGAAGAAGAAAAAAAATATTGATGGACACCAAAGCATTGTTTCACAGAGGATTAAAGAATCATGACAGTGGGATGATTAATACTAATAATATATTATTAACACCAAACAATATAAATAATAAAGAAGAGGCAACACAGACCACACTGTGGGTAGAAAGCCAGTCTGAGCAGCACAAAGATAGATTCAGCTCCTGTCTCTGACACCCAACAAGCATTGATTAAGCACTTACTACGTGCCAGGCACTGGGCTAAGCACTGGGGATACAAAGAGAGGCAAAAGATAGTCCCTGCCCCTGGGGAGCTTACAGTCTAATGAGAAAGAGCAGATATGAATAACTAGGTGCATAAGATAGATTAGATAAATGGACAGAAAGAGAGACAAAGAGAGGAGGGGGAGAGAGAAGAAAGACAGAGAAAAGGAAGGGAGAGAGAAAAGGAGAGAAGAGGAGAGGAGAGGAGAGGAGAGGAGAGGAGAGGAGAGGAGAGGAGAGGAGAGGAGAGGAGAGAAGGGGAGAGGAGAGGAGGGGAGAGGAGAGGAGAGGAGAGGAGAGGAGAGGAGAGGAGAGGAGAGGAGAGGAGAGGAGAGGAGAGGGGAGGGGAGGAGAGGGGAGGAGAGGAGAGGGGAGGAGAGGGGAGGAGAGGAGAGGGGAGGAGAGGGGAGGGGAGGGGAGGGGAGGGGAGGGGAGGGGAGGGGAGGGAAGAGGGAGAGAGAGAGAGAGAGAGAGAGAGAGAGAGAGAGAGAGAGAGAGAGAGATGGCTCTGTGTGACCCTAGACAAGTCCCTTAACTTCTCCATAGCGGAAGCAACTCTCTAAGACTAGGAAGTTGAAGGCAAGTGGATGAGTGCTATCTGTACTGGGGGAGGAGTTTCCTCATCAAGAATTCTCCTATACCAATGAAATCTTAGTTTCTATCCCAAGCCTATCTACTAAAAGGAAATATTTCCTATAATATTCAGTCATTTATTATAATGGTATGATATGATTCTATTAATAAAATAACAGAAATTCTTGGGAGACATTGCTCACTAGTATCTCTGACAATTTAAGTCAGTCCCACACACGCTTTAAGAAAGCAGATGAGGGAGGCAGTAATATCTAAGGGAAAGAGTCCCAGCTCTGGAGTCACCTCCCACTTCAGACGCCTGCTCTACCTGTGGCTTTTACCTCCTTGGACCTCAGTTTCCCCCTCTGTAGAATGAGGGGGGTTGATGTAGGATATTTGGCTGGATTGACTCACAGCCTAAGTAATCAAACATCTTCCTGACTAGAAGGCTCCCCACGGTTGGTGGGACTCTCTCCTTGCTCCCCAAATGATAGTCGATGTGACTCCCCCCTAGAATGTATTCTCCCTGAGGGGAAGAATTGTCTCCTTTGGCTACCTTCCAGTACCCAGCTCAGCAGGGCACCTATCCCAGCACTTGGCATAAAGTAGGCGCCTAATAAATGTTTATTGGCTTGGATTGCATTGGATGCCGTGGATCCTTGTGGCTCTCTCTCTACCAGGAGTCTTTTTTCTCTCTCGCTGAAGCCCCTGCCTCCCGGCCAGCTCCCATCTGAGTCACCCCCCATTCCCTTCTCCATTCTCCTAGCCCACCAGATCTGCTGTAAACATGCCTACATGCAGTGACATCCTATATATAGTAGTGTCCACTATATTATGCTATATAATATTGTTATATTATAATATAGTAGTTATTATTGATGTAACTTTGTATACTATATGTGTGCGGAATATATACATTGTACTTGTGTCTCATTATATCGGTATATTATACTATGTTATATATACTATGATACTACTATAGACATATAGGAATATGTCTCTATTACCAGAACCAGAGGTGTCAGTGTTCACCAAGGTTTGGCCAATCCCTGAGTTCCCCACCCAAGCCTACACTAGAACCCAGCCTGTCTTACCGTGAGCTGAGCCCTGGAAATCTCTAGAAGTTTGAAATAACTAGTGTGGTTCTGGGCATTGAAGGCAGCCACAGCAGCATCAACAGTGTGGAGCACCTTGGTGTCATTCAAGGGGGCCAGCAGGGCACAGTCCAGGCAGATTTTACGCACGTCTTCTGCTGAGTCTATCAGAAAAGAGAAGAAACTGCATTTCATGGCTAGCCATCCCTTTGGTCCTCTTCTACACTGGCCAGTTACTTCTGAGATGATGAAGAACCTCCCCAGGAGCTTCTGTCATCTTCTGTGCTCCTTGTTAGAGCTTAGAGATGCTTGGGTTCCTTCCTTCCTTCCACCTCCTAGCATCCTCAGCTCCCTTCAAGACTCAGTTCAAGCAGAGCCTTCTACATGAAGCTGCGTGACCCTGGTCCTCAGTTTCCTCATCTGTAAGTGAGAGGAATGGACTTGATGGTCCCTGAGGTCTCCTTCTAAGATTCTGAGACAAGGGGATTCTAAAATCTCATTGCAGCTCCATGATGTTATAATATGTCATTTCAGCTTTTCACTAACTGGTGTTAGAACTGGTGGTTTTATTCTAGCCACTAGCATCATGTAAAGATTTTTCAAAGCCTTTGAAAATGAAACATTGTTGTTAGACTTCGGTATATCCTCTTTCTCCTACTTCTTATGAATTTATTCAGCCTTTGGATCCTTGCCAAACAATTGGCCAAAATCTGAAAATCTCCAACTCCAGGAAATTTAAGTATGGAAAGACCTCATCCCAGGACCCTTTCTATAGAGTTAAAAAAAGGGGCAGGGAGATTATATTCATTAATAGTGAAGCAACTTTACCAGAAACATTTTCTGGCCTCATTCTCCATCACTGGCCTCCAGAACCATACCTGGACTGGACTCACACTTGGCATTCGATACCACAAACTGGTTGTCAAGTTTCAGCACATTGACATCACAGTCTCCTTCCACAGCCTAGAGAAAGATAAGCCGAGTCACACCTTGATCTCTCAAGGAGAAAAGCAGAGGAGCTGGGGGGAGGCCAGGGACCTTTCTTGGAAAGAAGGAAGGGGGGAAGAAAGGAAGGAAGGAAGGAAGGAAGGAAGGAAGGAAGGAAGGAAGGAAGGAAGAAGAAGAAGAAAGAAGAAGAAGAAGAAGAAGAAGAAGAAGAAGAAGAAGAAGAAGAAGAAGAAGTGGTGGAAGAAGAAGAAAAGAAAGGAAGGAAGGAGGCGGAGAAGGACAAGAAGGCGAAAGAAGAAGACAATTGCGGGGGGGAAGGAAGAGGGAGGAGAAAAGAGATATAGAAAGAGGGACAGGCTCCAATATTTACTTCTGGTGGCCTGGTGCCCACCCATTATTGAAATGAGAATCTAGAAAAACACTACCTAGGTAACTGGACCTTGCAAACACTGATGGGAGGCTTGGAAAACCTTTGAAAGCTGCCTCACCCTGAAGCCAGGTCTGGAGTGATTGGGGCACCTGGAAGTGAGTGTTTCAAAATGAACTCAGGTAAGAAAGAATCGAGACTGAGCCCAAATTTCCGAGGGGGCAGCGAATGGGCTCCTCTCTGCCTCCCCACCTTCCACAGACATTGGTGAAGTCAGAACTCACGTGTTCTGTCAGCTGCCTCACAGTGCAGTTTTCCAGTGGGGTTGGGTCCAGCACATGGCAGGTGGTTTCCAACAAGTCAATCTCCATTGAATACACCTCTCCCACGGGCTTCTGCAGGAAGAACCAGTGAGGATGAATAAGCATGACTGGGCACAGATCATTAGCACTGCCTCAACATTTGCCTGCCTGGTAGGTAGCAGGGACTCAATAGTGCCCCTGAGAAAGAGAGAAACGTGGTCCCTAAAAATGAACCTCGAAAAGGGCAACCTTCCATTTCTCATTCTGAGTGCTCTTTGTGGGAGTCAAAATGACTTTTTAATCTGCCAAGGCCTTTCCACCCTGGCTCCAATCTCTCTTTTCAGCCTTATTATCATGACCCTTCTTCACTCTACAATCTGGTCCCAAAGGCTGTTTTGCTGTGCCTCCCACATGACGTCTTCCATCTCCATCCCTTGGCACTGGCTGTCCGCCATGCCTGCCACGCTGTCCCCACTCACTTTCTTGGCTGAGAATTCCTCACTTCCTTCAAAGTTCTGTTTAAATGCTGCCACCCACGAGGCCCCTCTTAATCCCGCTTTCCCTCATCCCGTCCTCCAACTGCTGGAATTACCTTGTATTCAATTTGCATATGCTTATAGGCCTGTATTATCTCCCCTGCAGAATGTAAACTCAAGGGTTGGTTTCATCTTTTGGTCCTGGCATCCTTGGTGCCCAGGCCAGGATGCTTGATGATTCACTGAAGGGTCATATTACACTTATTAGGGGGTTTTACAGATTAAAAGCTCCCAGTAAATAATGACCTGAGGGCCAGAAAGGATGAGAGTTCAGTACAATGGTCTCCCTTTCTCTTCTCTCTTCCTCTTGCTTCTTCCTCCTTCTCTCTCCCTTTCTCTCCATCTTTTTTTTGGGGGGGCAGGCAATGGGGTTAAGTGACTTGCCTAAGGTCACACAGCCAGTAAGTGTTATGTGTCTGAGGCTGGATTTGAACTCAGGTCCTCCTGAATCCAGGGCCACCTAGCTGCCCCTCCATCTTCTCTTCCTTCCTAAGCATCCAATGGTCTTCACATGTTTGCCTGTACTTTCTGCCTTTCTGAATTTCCTCTCCTTATAGCCCACAAGCAAATTAACTACCTAAAGCCCTTGTCCCAGAGTTCATAGAGTGCTGAGTCCAGATATTTGCTAGATAGATGTGGGTTACCTTGGGAAAGTCATTCAGTTTCTCCTGTGAGCTGTTTCTTCATGTATAATGTGTATTTGTGTGTATGTATAAGAGATTACCTGCCAAATCCCCTCCTTCTCTAAATCTCATGATTATGGTATGTCCATCTTTGAGAAGCAGCATAGGATGTTGGGGTAGGGGAATCACAGTCAATATTCAATTTGGAGTCAGAATCCCAACTTCCTGTAATTGCTGCGGTGGCAGGCAGGGACCTTGAGTAAGTTACGTCTCTCTAGGCATCATCAGTAAAATGAGTGGGGCTGCTTTCTGGAGGCTGTAAAATCCTTAACATCTCTGAATTCAGCATCCTACCAGATTACAAATTCCATAAGGACAGACCTGTTCCTTATAAGGTACCTGTGTGTCCCTCCTTCGTCCCCTCCCCCTGCGGGACCAAGGGTAGGATCTCACCTTTGGCAATCTTTAAATTGAGGTTTATTGAGACAATGACCCTCACTCAGATGGGAAGCCTTCTTCCAAAGTGGACAATAGAGCCACACAAACACAATGTCTCAAAGCCCAATTAACTGAGCAATATCAGATGACTTGACCCGTCTTTTAATTACATTTTGAGCAATTCTGCCTTTCCAACTCAAAGAAAGTGGTTTTATTGCACAAGCTTCTTATGCCTCAGAATAGAGCAAATTAGCCAGGAGTGTGCTGGTAAGTATTTAACAACCAGCTCTCTGAGAAAAAACACAAGATGGACTTTTTAAATTAATCTGCATTATTAACATTTCCACAATACTTTCTCAAGTTTAGACAATCAAGCAAACCATAAATGAACCCTCACTTGTAGCTGATTTCCCAGGAGTAAATGCTCACACTGAAAACTGAAGCCCTGCCTGCGAGCCCTGCCACGCTGCCCAGGAAGGCAGACCAAGGTCCTTTCCAGTGCTGTGACCCTGTGATTCACATGACAACCCTGGCTCCAGCCCCACCCCCCAGAATTTAGCCAATCATTGAGCACTGTGGCTCGGGAGTTGATGTCTAGATGTCACCATCAAAGACCAAACTCCAGGTGAATACAACCTTCCCTCTACAAAGCTTCATCTTTGGTGCATTGTCTTGTTTTTGGCCTATGTACTCCTCAGGAATCTGGGCTAGAGACAGAATAAATGGTTTGCCAGGCAGGGATGCTCTGGAGGCAAGAACCTGTCTCCTAAATTCCACGCCAACTCTCTTTCCAATAGAACATCCTTCTCATGTCCTGCTGCCTTCAGCTAATCATTTAAAAGCAGCCTTCTGTCCCTTGTGACTTCCCCTGATGGAATGTCAGATCCTTGAGGCCAGAGTGCTGCATCCCCAAAGCAAGGAGTCCTGTCTTCTGATCTAGCATGCTTTCTATGATACAACACTTCCTCTGGAGAAGCTGTGCCCAAAGAGAAAGACATGGACAAACTTGCCCCATCTTGAAAAGGATGAAGATGGCGAGGCAGATCTGGGCATAACGCTGTCCAACTCTTGTAAATGATAGTCAGAATTCCAACCCAACCCTCTGACTCCCAGTCCAGTTCTGCTTGCTCTCCAACTGGAGTAGCCCCCAACCCAGGGCTCTAGGGCATGGGTCACTTACCCAGAATAGCCTCCCACCCAGACTCCTAGGGCATGGGTCGCTTACCCTCTGGTACACTCTCACTTTGTCAATCTGATTCAGAGTGTACTTGTATCCGTGTCTGTGGTTGCTGTTGACATACTGTACGGCTGCCCAGGCAGCCTGTTCTACCTCTGGGTCATCACAGTTTGGGTCCCTCACCGGGGGAGGAAGAGGACTTCTAGCAGTAGCATAGCTCAGAAGCTGAGCTAGGCAGATGAAGGCTACCAAGGACCTCATGGCTGGGTCCAGGACAGACGCTGGCCCCCTCAGGTCTATCACTGGAAAGGTGGACGAGCGCAGAGGCTTCTGCTCATTTATACATTGGAGGGGCTAGGAGCATTGCATAAGGGCTGGCTGCTCTTCCAAGAAACCCCTGCAAACAGCAGAAATGGAAAAGCAAACAAGGTCAGCACATTGCCAGATGCCCGATGGATTCTGCCAAAATCAACGTCCCCAGGGGTGGGGGGTGGGAGAGGAGATGCTCCAAAGTCTGCTCCCAGGGAGATGACTTTGGCACAAAGCAAAAATTCAGCATGGCAAGCAGGCCAGCGAGCCCGAGCCCCCAGGTGTGTTTGGTAGCAGAGGAGAGTGGCAGTCATTCTGGGGGAGGGGGAGGGGTCCTAGCACAGAATGGGTAAGGTTCTGAGATTGCCAGGTGGTCACCAATCTTAAGCTCTGTCACTGAGAGGCAGAATGTGTCATTGTAAGGATGCAGGGCTGAGTCAGGAGGGACTGGGGTTCAGACATTGTCCCCAACACTTGGTAGAAAGGTATCCACGGGCACAAGTCACTCAGCATTTTGAGCCTCGGTGCCCTCTGGGGTAAAAGGAGGGTAATGATATCTGCAGAGCAGTGGGAACAAATTCAAATAGAAACAGTTTCCTGTGGCAGTCTACTGGCTTAAAAGCCACACTTTAACCTTATCTATGCTTTATTGTATTTTCACTTCTTTAATTAATCGTTTCCCAACGTCATTTCACTCTGCTTCAGGCAACACCAAGGAGTGTGGGGGATGCATGTGGCCTGCAGGCTGTGAATCTGCACCTCTGCCCTAGAGCATCCTTCTGGGGTTGTCATAAGAATTATGGGGCCACAGGTCTAGAGCATACTTCTGGGGTTGTCACATGAATTACAGGGTCACAGCACTGGAAAGGACCTCAATCTGCGCTCCTGGGCAGCATGGTAAGGATAAGGGAAAGAGCCCTGACTCTGAAATCAGAGGACCTGGATTCCAATCCTGTCTCTGGTACATATGACCTTGAACAAGTCAGTCATTTAATTCACCATGGCCTCAGTTTCCTCATGTGTAAATGAGCAGATTGCCCTATATGGATGCTTAGGTCTTTTCTAACTCTGACCTCTAGGAGGATAGGATCAGAGACTCATCCAAACATACCTCAAAGGAATCCCCACTACAAGGTCCCCCTTGACAAGCGGTCCTCCAGCTTGAAGACCTCCAAGGAGGGGGAAACTACTATTCCCTACCCCACACAGACAGCTCTGGCTGTTCCAGAGTTCTCAAAGTGTTAATGCACAAAACACAGACTCCCTGTAATTACTGCAGGAAGGCAGATAGATGGTCTTAACTCTGATCAAAGGAATGGCTGCCTCACACTAATGAGTAACTGATTTTCCATTTTCCTATTAGTCCAAAATCTGGACAGACAGACTTGGTCTTCCTCCCCAACCTTTCTTCCCAGTGGGCGCCTCAGCCTGAATATTCTCACCTTCTATCACCAACTGCTCCTTGGACGCCTCAGACTGGATGTCCTCTAGACAGCTTCAGCTCAACACATCCCAAACAAAACTCATTGCCTTTCCCCCTACATCTCCTTTTCCCAACTTCCCTATTGTTTCAAGCTACCAGCATGCTCCCAGGCCCCTGGGTTCCACACCACAACATCCCCCTTGATGCCCCCTCCCACTCCATCTACCAATCCAGTCATTTCCCAAATCTTGACATTTCTGCCCCCACAACATCTCTTGTAGACATTCTCTTCTCTCTATCCACACAGCCACCACCCTGCTACAGGCCCTCATCATCCCACATCCAGGCTATTGTAAGAACCCGATACTTGGTCTCCCTGTCTCAAATTTCTCTCCACTCTAATCCATTTTCCACTTAGCTGACAAATTGGTCTTCCTAAAGTGCATATATAACCATGGCATCCCAATCCCACTCAGTCAGCTCCCTGCTTCCTCCAGTATCCAAGGGAAAGTCACCTCCCACTTCACTCCCTTCACACACGCCATGATCCAGCCATAATGTCACCTGTTTGCTGCTCCTCACACATCACACCCATCTCCCCTTCCATGGCTCAAAAGCTCTTCTTCCTTGTCTCTGCTGCTTCTGAGTTTTCCTGGGTTCCTCTAAGACTCAACTCCAATTCCACTTTCTGCCAGGGACCTTTCCTGGTTCCCTCAGAGGATAATGCCTTCTCTTTTCAGATTGTCTCCTATTCTGCTCTGTGTGTATGTATGTATGTGGATAATGTATGTATGTGTTTTATATGTGTATATAATATATGTGTTACATATGTGTATGTATAATATACGTATATTGTTATATATGTTTGTATAATATATCTATATGTGTAAAAATGTGTTTATATATGCTTATATTGTACATATATATAATATACATACTGTGGTATGTGTGTATGTATATGTGTATATGTGTGCATGTAATATATGTGTGTGTGTCATATTATACATAGTTGTATAATATATGTATATGTGTTATGTGACTGTACGTGTATAGATGTATGTTATCTGCGTATAATATATGTATATATGTGTTATGTGTACATAACATGCATTATTGCAGTGTGTATATGTGTACTGTATGTGTATACATGTACTGTATGTGTATATGCACATGTATTTATACATAGTTGTTTACATGTTCTACTCCATTTTATTGTGAGCACCTTCAAGGAAGAGATAGCTTTTGCTTTTCTTTGTATCTACAGAGCTTAGTATAGTGTCTGGCACACAGCAGGTGCTTAATAAATGCTTTTTGCTTGATGAGTTATTTGCCAAAATCTCTCATGATTTCAGAGCTGTGAGGGATCTCAGAGTCCATCTAATACAACTCATAGCTGTAAGAGATAGCCCTCGGAAGCATACAAGTGATACCCCAACTTCTGTTTGGTAGCAGAAGGGAAATGCACATACACAATATATGTATATGTGCGTTACATGTGCATTTATGTGAGGGGAAATGAACCATTTTTCATAGCACTCCACTCACTCTAGGACAGATCTAATTGTTAGAAAGTTTATGGAAAGCAAGAATCTGCCTCCCTGCAACAGTCACCAGCTGCTCCTAGTTTCATTTTTCGGGGCCAAGCAGAATAAGTCCAATGTCTTTTCTCCATGACAGCTCTTCAACCCCTTGAAGACCGCCATCTTGTCCTCTCTCTTCTCTAAGCTAAGTATTCCTACTTCCTCCAACTAATCCTCTTCAGGCATGGACTTCATTGGTTTTAAAATCTCCAAAGTTAAAAGTGAATCTGATCACCCACCCACACCACTTCAAACAAGGACATTACCTAGAAAATGCCTGGAAATCAAACATCCAGAGCTGTCTCTCCCCTGTTGACTTTCATCCCCACTTAGCCAATGCTGATGTTATCTCTGGACCTGGCTTTACAAGTAAATAAGGAGTGAATGATTACCGTATTTCTAGTTAGACTCATTCCAGAGAAAGCTGGATGAGTGCAAAGACTGCTATCTTTTCCCTGACCAGGTTTTCCATTCCCTAGGCAAGGGGATGGCACTGGTCAAATGCAAAGCAAGGCCACAGCATCTTCTGCAGCCTGACTCTTCAGTGCTGGCTGTAGGTGGACCAAGGAGCCAAGTCCTTGTCCTCAGAGGACCTTTGCTCTGAAGAAGTTAATGATCTTCCCCAGGTTTTCCTGCCAGGGCACACAGAGGCCACTGGAGTCAATAACTGCCTGGACCTCCTCCACTTTGAAAGCTGCCTTTCGCAACACCTCTACTGATGAAAAAAAATATACAACTCCCAGAATGTGGACTCCCAACAGTGGACCAAAGCAGCATCTTTGTGGGTCAATCAATTCCCCAATCAGTCAATAAGTAAGACCAGAGCTACAACTAGTGTGGGGAGACTGAGTCATTTCCCAGGGTGCTGAAATGCAGAAGGGCCTGTTTTTTCTCCTTCCACTTCTGGTTACACAGACAAGGATCATGGCTCTTTGGAAGCAAAGCCTCAGCATTCTCAAGGATGCACGCAATCCATATTTGATGGGGTACTTGGGTGCTTATGCTTGTACTTGGACCCCAATTTCTCCCTAGTCTCAGAAACACTGTCTCTGACAATCACTCCCCAGCCCAAGGACACTATGCCTAGCAATTACTCATGCGTGGGCCCCAGCAAGACCCTTATCTCTCTCCCTGGTGCAGCTACACAAAGCTGGGTGAGAGAGTGCTGGGCTGCTCAGGCCCTAGCCCTCAGATCGTGTCTCTGGAAACCTCCCAGTTTCTTAGTAAGTTCCTGTCTTGTGAGAAAGCTTTCCCTTGTTGCAGAGCATTCTCTCATCAAGACAGAGAGAGAGAGGTGACTTGCCCAGTCCAAGGAGTTTTGTCCTTGGCTGGCCCAAGGACTTTTCCTCCTGCCAGACTCCAAAGATCCATACTTCTGTAATCTCCCTCCCTGTCTGGTATACTCCCTGTACTTTCCCATGCATAGCTCCCAAAGACACCTGGACCTTTGGATTACCTAATCAGTATCCCTGGCATTCCTTTCCCATGTCCTTTTCCATATAAACCCTAGCTCCATCCTCAGTCTCTCACAGGTTCCTTAAGAATCCTTGCCCGCTGAAAAGCATAACAATAAATCTTTGCCACTTTGACTTGAAGAATGGTTGAGCATGTGAATTCATTCCAGATGATTGCATCCTCTGCTCCAGTCTTTGAGTGGTCTCAACCTCTCAGACCTCAACATATTGACATGGAGGGGTAACTCTCCTAGAGATTCTTCTCTAAAGGTGACAACAGCTTGGTCTGTTTCTGAACTTCTGGGGTAGCAGAGCCTTCTGGGGTGTGGAAAACATTACTATTCCTACTCCTCTGAGCTCCCAGCAAGCCTCAAGCACACTATTGGTTTCTGAGCTTCTTTCTTTCTGGTTTTGTTTTTTCTTGTAAAGGGAAAAGCCCCGATATTTAAGAATGGCCCCAAGGGACTTGAGTTCAAAGAGTCGGCTCCTTATTATGAGGAGGTAGGACCTAGGCCCCCATGGCTTCTCTTGGCTCTGCTCTTCTAAGAAGATACTTCAGCA